GGGGGGGGGGGCGCACAATTGTTGCTCACTGGCATTTAAAATAACTTGGTTGACAATCAACACCAGCTCCCTTTGGCATTCTGAAATATAGTTCTTTAAGGTATAAAATTAATGCAAGGTCAAAGTAGGCCTTCCCACAATTCCCTTCATAAACTTATCACTATTCCACGTGGCATAGGGAAAGCACTGGCCTAGCAGTTACGAGCTCTGGGTCCTAGTCTCGGGGTTGTGAGTAATGTGGTGTGGGCCACTCAGCAAATCCCTCACTCAGCATGCCAATTTCCTTCATCTATAAATAGAATCAATCGTGACTGGCCCGTCTATCTCACAGGTGGCTGTGAAAGCAAATACAGTCATAGATTTAAAAATGCAAAGGGTTGAAAAAATGTACCAAGTGCTATTCTTACATTCTTGTCAATATTAGGAATCAACAATTTGTACAACTTCACACATCAGTCAGAATGCCACAGACTGAACAAAGTCACATGGGAAATGTCCTGCCAGGTTCTACAGTCCAGCCGCAGAGAAGCACCACTGCCCGGTTCCTCCCTAGCCCGCTAGCCCACCGCAGTCACAGCTTTGACGGGCACAGTTCTCTCTCACCAGGTCCCAGAGGCCGGCTGTACTGAACGCTTTGCTCTCAGTGTCATGTAGGCATCACGGTATCCTGATACACACGCCATCCCTTGCTATACACATTTCACAAAAGCAGGTAAAAAGGAGGAATCAAACACAACAGCTCTGCATACTGAGTCTTGAGTTTATAACACAGCGGAAATGACTTTTTTTCAGGAAACACTGGCTTTTTTTCTCTTCCCGCCCATTACATTAACTGTGGCTTCCCATCCCTCATTACTGATAGATTTGAAGAAAGGGTATTTAAAGCATGGTGTTAGTCATCTCCATGCTAGAACCAGGCTGCTGCTAATTCACATAAAGGTCCAAAGTAGGTGAAGCTTAATTATACTTTATAAAATCAAATTTATAGCCTAAGCATTTTTTATTAAGCAGAATGGTTTATTTATCTGTGTTCTAACATATTAGTGATGTCAAAGAGAAACCAGATTGGTTTAAAACACAGATTTTTATAAAACTTAGAGCTGCTACCTGCTTCTACCTAACCACTTTGCTAAACAACACAGCAGGAGGGTACCTATTTCTGGCCAAATCCTCTGCACATAAAACCTAAGCATTTTTCTCTTGAAGTTCATCAAAAAATAAAATATCACAATGCACTTGTTATAAATGATTAAATTCTCATCATATTAAACTTAGCCAGTTTATCTCTTTCCTATATATTTATCTTGGAATTATAAGATATAGGCTTATGTTAGAGTATTTTACAAATCCTTTGACAAAGAAAATCAGGAGTTAAGAAAAAGTCATCCACAGATCTGGTCCCAGTCAAGATGGAGCAATCACTCTCCTCTCTGTCTCTCCACCAAATGCAATAAATATCCTGGACAGATTGCATGGGACTCTGAGAAGCAAATGGCAACAGGTAGAGTGGGAAATCAGAATTCACAATTAGAATTCAAGATACCACTGAATCAATGGCAAGTTTCCCAGGGATTTTTTTTTACTCCAGTAACTCCTGACTCGGACTTAAAGGCAGCCTGAACTGCATTACAAGGATGTGAGGCTTTGTGCTGAGTGACATTTTTACAGCCAACTGTAAAAATGGAAGCACTGACCAAACCTCCACTTCAGTATCACAAATGAATAAACTCTAGCACAAAGTTGTGACTGTCAATGTGAACATGTATGAAGCAATGCTGCCAGGACTGAAGTAGTCATCTTCTGACCCTGCTGCAGACCATCTGTATGCTAATCTGTCCTTCTCGCAGGTTTAACCTCCAGGAATCATGCAGATTCTGTCTGCAGATCTGAGCTGGATTCTCATAAAAATCTTCTCCAATAATATTTTATAAACAACAAACAACTTTTTAAAGGTTTCACCTGCTGTTATTAGCAATGTATGACCTCTTCCCACATGTACAGGCAATCAAATCCCTTAAAATTATTTGCTCCTAAAATTGAAGCTGGCAATTTAAAGGCTGATGAGATGCCAGGTCTTTCCATTCTGAAAAAGACCAGTGACAGAAATGACCTGCTAGCCCTTGCTCTACCTTTCCCAGCTAGTGTTCTTTTGAAACTGCTCCCTGCTTCATTTTCCTGCCCTGGCTCTGAGATTTGGAGGGTCTATCGAAGAGAAAAAAATTATTTATTACAATTTTCATGTCTTTATTTACATTATTTTAGAATACATGTACTTATAAAGGTGTTATATTGTTTTGAATTTGCCTAGTTTTTGTTTAAATGAATCAAAATAAGTTTGGTTTAAATTGTTTAGTGTTCTTGAGTTAAATGATTTGTCATCACTAGCAACAACCAATTTAAATTTCGTTTAATTCACATACTCCACCTAGTGCCTTACTTGAGAATAGCATCTATTATCAATCTTAGCTGAAGAATTCCTTGTTTAATGTGAAAATTACAGATTTCCAACTAAAAGGTACTTGATTGAGTATTGGAAAGCTTAGAGGAATGGAGAAATATATAAACAAATAGATAAATAGCAAAAGGCATTCTATTAAAACAAGAGTATTACCCTGGCCAGTGTGGCTCAGTTGGCTGGAGAGTCATCCAGTACACAAAAACCTAGCAGGCTCAATTCCCAGTTAGGGCACATACCCAGGCTGCATTATGAATTAAACCATTTCTCTGTGAGCACTCTTTAATATCACATCACTGTGCCTGCAGACTTCTTTGTCTGAGCTGTTGGTCACAAATATTATATATGACAAGGAGAAAATTCTGAGGTGTCCTAAGTTAAATTACAGCAGACTGGAGGGGTAGAAGAAAGAGATGAGAGATGTTAATCAGTTAACAACTGCAGGCTGAAACCAACAAAAACTGATAACATTCCTGAATGTATGTTAAAACTTTGAATTAACCCTCTGTCTAAAGAGAATAGCTGACCAACTGACCACCAGGGCCACTGCACCTTGTTTATCTTGCATGATTGCCCGCAACTGATACTAAAGAGCAAACACTTCTTCCTATGGACTACGCACCCACTCAGAACTAGCCCCTTTATCTACAGCCAATGTAAATTCTTTCAAAACAACATACATCTTCTCCAAACTCATGTATGAAAGAGCCTGCCAACTCCATTGTCCACTCCATCTAGCCCTGCTGCTGGTGGCTCAACACTGCATGCCCTAGGAACTGTCCTTTTTCTCGCTATCATATCACTCAATAAATTCCTTTCTTTTAGAAAAGCTTATGCCATAAAAGTTTTTGTTTTACCTATATTTTGTCCAAAAGTAACTCCTTAATCCCTTAGCCTCTACCTGTCTGCTGACTATGCCTGTGGAAGCAGTGACTTCCATATAGGAAGATCAAAACAGGGCCGTAGGAGCTTCACGCAGGTGTGGCAGTTTACAGTCTTCCCTTTACTACCAACTATGGTAACCAACAAAACAATTTAGAGGCCTCCAAATCATAACTCAAGGATAGGAAGGAACCAAAATCCTTTAGCCTAATAATTACAGGGGATGTGCTAGTAAGAGATTAAATTTTGCACTAAGAAATGTCTGATGGTCTTTTAGACAGTCACACTGTGAGAGGACCACTCTAGAATCCACCGCTGCCTCCATTCGTCCTACTCAGGATCAGAGCCCTCCTCTCCATCCAAGAGTGGCACTGGAATAAATGAAGAATGACCAACAGAGTTTCCAGACACAGAGTCTGTTGGGGATTGATAAAACAAGGGTAGGGAAGCAGTAAGGGAAGGGTCCAGGTGGTAGTCCTCACGACTCTAAGACAAAGGCTTCTGGGCCATGGGCAGAGCCCAGGGGCCAGCTGACACATTGGGTAGATCAGAGGAACCACTCCCTCAGCACCACATTCAATGGATTCCATACAAAAATGTTACTCAAAATTGAGGATAGAGTACTACTGATAGAACAGTCAGTGATGTTGCATATTTCTTTCAAATCCTTATTCCCATTTCAGTATACCCTTTGATAACAGAGTTGACGAAAGAGAAACTTTTATTTGACTATAACTATGTAATCATGGACCTAGAGTATGAAAACAATGGCAAACTATGGAGGTGTGACACTGTTCTACTGAAAGTTCAACATGGATGGAGATACCACCTACATAACTCTAACTACATAAGCTCTATCTTGACCTGGAACATAAGCTTCCATCAAACAAACATCACGATACATAGAATAAAAATAGAAAAATTATTTGGGTGGAAATCACTATAGTATCTCCCTGTGTTTTCATCTAAGCATGGTTTTGGCCAGAATACCAATAAATCAGCATCCTATCATCAATTCTTTTAGACAGTATTTGTATACCCACCATCTCTAGCAGCAAGAAAAAATGACACTAGCAGAAAATTATATATGAATTTGTTCACTCAGTTATAGAGACAGATAAAGATGCAGATACTAATTATAACAGCCTGTGGATTTATTTCTTGTCTGTTAGGACAGGAGGATCTTTAACCTCCTATGTCAAGCATGTGTCAAGCATCTTCAGCACTTGATGAAGTAGTCATTAAGAAGTCATTCATTTACACAGGAGCTCAGGCACCCACCAGTGTGGGTAATACGGAGTGGGTGTGTGCACGCACTCCTGCTCACGTTTGCCGGTGAAAGAAGTGAGTGAGCAAGGCTTACTGGGAAAAGCTCAGCAGCTCCATGGTGAGAAATCTGTTTTTAAAGGTCACTGCTGTAGGTTGAAAAGAAATCAGCAAAGCTGAGGTCATTGTTTTAATCAGCCTCAGGCAAATTGCAAGGGTAGAATCAAAATCCATTCAACAGAGCAGAAAACAATCAGCAACTTACTTCTTCTACCAAGTAATAGAGTAGACCCTTGGCATTTACGAATTTAATATTTGTGGTTTCAGCTAGTCCCAGGCCACCTGCAGGGGAATGACAAGCAGCGTCTTGTAATTTTACGGAGGCTTGCAGTTGAGTACATGATGAGAGGTTGGAAGGCAGGAGGGGTCCCAGTACAGCCAACCCAGCACCTTCCCTACCTCCATTCTCATTCCAGAGAGTGGTTTGCCACTTCTCCCACTAACTCCTGTGAAGTGATTTTTTTAAAAAGCATGTTTTCACATCTACTTCTCTGATACCAATGAATTCAGGAATTTGCAAAACTGGTTTGGGGATAAAGTTATTTTTCAAGGTCAAGGAAATGGAAGCTGCTGTAAAGGAAATGGCCAAATTGCTTAAGAGCACCTCTGACAGGTTAAGTAAAAATGAAGCCCCAAACTATTGGTCACAGAATTTTAGGGCTGTTTAACCTCCTTTGAGAGAGCAAGTCTTGGATACATAACCTCTCTTTTGTACCTGAATCAAACATATGTTATGGCACAATTATAAATTCCCCCTTCCCTATAGCTTCCTCAAACTACCAACTTCTCTCTCCTCCGGGGAAAGTACTGACGTGAAGCAGGACATTTTCTACCTTTGCAGGAAGAGTAAGACAGTTTTCCCTGTAACCTGCAGGTCTCATTTCTCTGCATTTGCTCTCAAAACTAAACAACTGTCTCCAGCTAGGAGGCCTAGGACTGGGACCACTGAAGAACCCGACTTTGGGGAGAAAGCTGGAAGGTCTATGTATCATCTGGCCGTACGTGGCATTGCATTTGATGGGATATGACGAGGAAGCAAAATTTTTTTCCTGGTCTCGGTCTCTTAGTGTCTTGCAATTTCTGTTTACCTGTGGTGTGAGCCAGGGCAGGGAGGCCGCCCGATCTGGGTAGACCCTGTGACACTTCTCTGTTTCCCTAATCTCTCTCGTTCAATCCACCAGTAAGTCCTGACACTGCCATTATCTTAATATCTTGTTATTTGCAACGGCCATGGTCTGCTCCCACTCATCTCCTTGGCTCCAGCTATGCCAGCTCCATCCCACTCCCCACGCTGCAATTGGAACAACCTTCCTGGAGCACATCCTTGCTTGAAACCCTTCGGTGGCTCCCAAGTGCCTAAGGAACAAGTCCAAGCTCATTATTGCATCATGACTTGGCCCCTGCCTGCCTTACCTTCCCCACCCCTGCCCGATCCCATGCCAAGTTCCAGCAATGCCAACTAATTTTTCACCAAATCCCCTATGCTCTCTCCAGCCTCTGTGCCTTTGCCCTTGGCTCACTCTCCCCCTCTACCTGGAATAACCCGCTTCCCCTAACTTTCTTCAGGACATTTCAAGGATCATTTTCCCACCAGTTCCAAGGGTCTTCCCTTCCCAGGTGCTCTGGGAGGGACCCCAGGCATCCCTCTATCCAGGCACTTTTCATGCTGTGCTGTTCTCATCTGATTCTTATCTGTTTCGCACACAGGACTATTAGCTCTTTATCAGGAACTGTATCTGACTTGCCTTTGTAGTTCCTCTGGTCAGCAGAGGGCCTGACACATACACAAATAAATATCTCTTGAATGAATAAATGAATAAATTAGACTTTAAATAAGAGACAGAAATTGATATTTTTAACATTTAGTACCTTGGTACTGTTTATTTTCATGATGTTGTTTGGTAAGCAAATACAGATAAATTTGCACAGATTAAGGCCAAAAGAAACGGAAGACTTAGAATTAAATAAGCCATGTATACTACTTCTACTGCTGCTGCTAACTCTGATTCAGGGCTAACTCTGTGATCAACCCTATGCTAATGTATTTTTTACGTTTTGACTGAACCCTCAAAATCACCCCCATTTTATAGATGAAGAAATATCAAAACAGAAAAATTTTACTAACTTGTCTGTAAGTGGCTGAGCTGGAATTGAAACCTGGCAGAGCCAGTGGTTTTAACGACCACACTGTACTGCCTGCCATGTGACCATTTGCACAGAAAAATGGTAAGTTGTGTATTTGCCTCACTCACCTCAATTTTTCAGGGTTTTTTTCCACCTCAACTTAGAAACTCACAACTTTAAATATATTGAATTACCAGCATCAAATGATATTTGAGAATTTCTCTGGGTGGGCTTAAAAAACACATATATAGCCACCTCCTTGCCAGTTGCTAAAGGAAGTAATAGAGCAGGATGGGTGGCAAGTTGTGTCAAATACATGAATTGTGTTTCCTTTAGAATTAATTTTCCTACCTCCTAAGGAAGTCGCTGTTGAAAATTTCACTACCTATTTGTGAGGTTACATTTTTGAAAAAGTGACTTTCAAAGAAACACAAACTTCTGAGTGAAACGGAAGATTACAGAGACCCAGTAAGAAACCTCTGCCACCACATGAGGCTTTTGACAGCATCAAAGGAGCTAACAAACATAAAGAGAAATTAGAGAAG